TCAAATTTATATATATATATATATATAGTTTAATATATATAGTTAATTTTAATATATATAGCTTTTAATAAAATTTTAAAGTTAAATATTATTTTATTCATTTTTTGATATTTAATAATCATATAAAATAGCAATCTTTGTCTAACTAATCTGTTATATTATATTCTATATAAACATAAAGCTATTTTTAACAATCACTTACATTCTTATTTGTTTCAACTTTTCTTTAATTTTTATACATACCTGCATTTCTGAATATAATTCTGAATGTAAATTAACCGATGATATAGCAGATCATTGCTGAATCAGAATTAATCATATCGTATTTGAAATTCGATACAGTATTAATTTAAATATCAAATATGGAGCCGCAATGAAGTAAATACAATATTTTACACTATAGCTTTGCAATTTTCTATTAAAAAACCGTACTTATTGAGAGCTACTAATGATGAGTACTGAATGGTGCATGAACAGTATGTACAGTATATACTGTTATGCTACTATATATAGATGTTATGTTACTATATATAGATTACATATAAAGCAACATGCAAACATAAACTACATCAACAACATGAATGAAAAGGAAGGAATTATCGTTTGACTTTTTGGTTGGTTTATTTTCAACCAACCACTGTACATAAAGATTTAATCGCACGTAAAATTTGATATGCTTTATAATCCCAAGTCTTCCATGTAATTTCATTTTATAACAGAATAATATAGTCCATGAAATATATGAAGTAATGTAAAGCAACCATTCGAATAAAAAGTGTTTTATTAAATCGTTCGAATAAAATTTTTTAAATTTTATTATTATATATTATAGACATTAATATTAAATTATTTGTCAATAGGTTATTATATTAAAAAATTTATATTTTATTAAATAGTTTACGAGTTTATAAATAATTAATAATAACGAGTTTATAAATAATAAATATTTTTTGAAAAAATTTGTAACTATACTTCAAATACAATTTTTTAATTAATACATACAAAGTTATTTATCAAATTATATTACAAATTATTATTCCTTCTTTTTCAAAATGTTATCTTTCATTACTTTCATTGCTATAACTCTATATTTAGCTGTAAAGCATTGTGTCTTATGTATGTGTACGTGTATATTTGTTGTGAGATATAAATATTTAAGTATAAATATTGCAGATAATTTTCTAAGCAATATTTAACGATAGCTATTTGTACAACAAATAAAAGTGCGAAAAAAAGATATAAATTTAATAAAGAGTTATAAAATATTTTCATGTGTTTATACCAATTGTAATCATACATATTGTAATTATTTTAAATTATTGACAGAAAACTTCATAGTAGTTATTTTAAAATCTATTCACTTTAAAATATTAAATTTAAAATATTAAGACATTTTTATTTAAAAATCTTTAAGAATTCAAAATAAATATATTGACTTAAGAATTCAAAGTGAATTGATTTTTCAATTAAATTTCCTTAATTAAATAAAGATTAAAAAAATTAAATGTAACTATTAAGTACAAATCAAGTCTGAACAAAAGTACATAAAGTTTTTAAATTCGTTTATAAAAATTATTTTAAAGTTTTCTTAAATAATCATATCTTCAAGCTTTCATAAATTCATTCAGTCCAATTAAAAAAATCAATCATTAGATTAATCTAGTATCTAATAATTTGTTCCAAAAATGTATCGCCAAATTCTTAAAAGACGTAATCTAACAAATTAATAATATTGTATTTTATTAAATCAAGATAAGAGAGATAAAAGAAAAAAAAAGGAAGAAGAAGAAGAAGAAGAAAAAGAAGCGTAGCGAGGCGCATGCGACACTCACGGTGGACATTGGATGCGAGTAAGTTGTAGTGTTGGGTTGGTATGGGCGTGCTAGGGAGGACCTGCAAAATAACCTGCGGTGGCAACGGGGCCCTGTGATCTTGGGAACCGTTCGATCGATCCAGCGCACGGGGCCCCGTGCAGGTCTCCTGCCTGCGGAGTGTTTCGCTCAGCGCAATGTTACAACTGTTGGAAAATCGTTGGTGCACGTCGGCACCGTTGATGATTGCTGTACCGTTCCCATCGCCGGCACCGGTGCAGCTGGTCGATATCGTCGTGGTGGTGGTCGTCGTCGTCGTCGTCGTCGTTGCCGATGTTGCCCCCGTGGAATTCATAGTCGTCGTTATAGTGTTGGTCGTCGTGGTGCTCGTTGTCGCTCCGTTACTCGCAGACATTGCATCCGTTTTCGTCTCGATGATCACCTGCGTTCCTTCACCAATGACGCCGCCCTGATTATTCGCAACTACGAACGCAGAGTTTTCCTCCTTGGTGATGCTCATGTAATAGCAAGTGTCGGTCTTCTTCATTATATGCCGCGGCCCTGCGTATAGGAAGACACAATTGGCGCACAAAATGTGGCAGCTTCTCATTTCGTATTTATAAAAAAGTAAATTGAATTGCAATTTAAACATTATGTTCTCCTATTATTCCTCCTTTTATTCCTAATTATTGTAATATTCCTAATTCTTCTCGATATAATTAATCATTTTCAAAGCACTGTAAAAATTATTTATTGAAATAATAAATCGTATAATTATATAAATGATTGTCGTAGGAATAATATAAAATCATGTATACAATAACAAATTGATGAAAAAATGTATCAAATAACATAAAAATAAAAATACAACATATAAAGTTTAATATTTCTTTTATTTGCTCGAGAGACAAAAAACCTAGGAAAAGATGTCTAAAAAAGAAGCCTA